GCTTCCCGTCATTTAGGGGTTTGTTGGAAAAGTGCCAGTTTGTTACACGCTCTGTTGTTGTTTCTATCGCGAGTCATTGTATTTAACTCCAGTTTTTTAAAGGATAGACAGAGGATATGATTTTACTGGCGTTTTGGAGTGGTTTGCTGAACGAGTTGATCGAATTATTTTACTATTCGATGCGCATAAGTTGGATATTTCTGACGAATTTAAGCGTTGCATTGAAGCACTCTCTGGTAGGTTCTGTTCTGACTTAGTATATTTCTTCAATCCAGAGTTTACTGCATTGTTTTTACTGTTCGTTTTCCCAATAAATTTTTTTGTTGCTAAGGTAACGAAGATAAAATAAGGATAGTGTTGAACAAATCGGATATGGTGGATCATCAACAGTTGATGCGGGTGTACGGAGCTTTGATGTGGTCGCTAGGAAAAGTTGGTGGCATAACTTTTTTTTTTATTTCGAAATAATTAGCACAGATATTACGCATAATAAATGGTACATTATTTACAGGTTTTTAAGACTCCGGAAGTATCAAGAGTGTATATCGGAAGTTTTTGGGATCGCCCGTTGCATTACGATATTAACAGACGGCTGTTCCAAGACGAACAGCATGATCTTTTTGCAGATCTCCAAGCCTTGCCCAGGAATGCAGCTTTGAGAAAACTTAACGATCTTATTAAAAGAGCCCGGCTTGCTAAAGTTGGTTTATTATAGGACTTTTAGTGTTTTACTTACAAACTTTTCACTGTTTAAAAAACTGTTCATACCTATGTCCGTATATTTTTCCGGTAACTGTTTTTGATCTTTCACGCATCAGTGAAACAGTCTAGTCGTCAAATTTAGGTGCATGCATATATCATCGCAGAATTACGAAAGCAAATGCCGTCGATGATAGGTAAAGAGAAGAAAAAGAAGGAGCTGATTGCTAACTTATCTAAAATCTTTGAGCAGCTGCAAGTTAGTTCATATAGTTTACAAATTAGTCATTTTTTTTGAGAATTTTTTGCTTTACGTGTGTATTCGCCTGTTTCCTCAAAGTCTAATTTCTTAAATTATTGATAGTAATGTTTTACCTTCCTGGACTTTAAAGAACACTTCATGGATTATCTTCAATTCTACACATTGGTGAATATTGTTAGTCAGAAATGGTTCAGCCGACTGAGTACAACACTTTTCAGAGGGAACACAATATATCACCCGGAGATTTTCCCGACGTCAATAAGATGAAAGAAAATCTTCAAAACCAGGATTTTACAAAATTTTGTGCGATCAAACCGAAGTTGTTGGAGGTGGTGGATGGAATGCTAGCTTATGATATTGGTCAGTTGAAACTTTTTTAGATTAAGATTTTTTGTGTCGGCTGGTTTTTATTTTTTATGTATGGAATTTGTTTTTTTTGGAAAGTATCATAAATTCTTCCAGATTGGCGTCGTTCCAGGATTTTATGTGGCTGTACTTTGTTTTAGGATTTCTATTCATGCCGATTCTTCGTCATTTTTCTTTTTTAATATGTGTGTAGAAAGTGACTGGTTGGAGAGACTTTATGGAAAATGAAAGTTATATCTAGTCGATAAGAATTTTGTATAACTTAATTATTAAATAGAGGTTGTTACGTTAGGTAGAAGGGATGTCTCCTATTGGTCAGGCAGTCTTCGTTCCTCTCCACCTCACTTGCAGAAAGAAGGAGCGAGAAGGGATTGAAGATATGAGATGCCTAAGGGTGAGTACGGGAGGAAGTAATGCTTGAGGAACTGGAAGAGAAGGGGCTTTAATTTCTCAACTTGTTTAGAACATTTCGCAAGGATTAATCTGTAGAATTGAAATCTAGGTTTTGATGTGAAATTTTTTAAAAATGCTTTTTCCAGAACGGAAGCTGTTTTACTAGTGAGCTAAAAATTTTTATTGGTTTGTTTAGCTCTGTATCTACCAGTTTAAAATGAAGAGGATATTTAGATAAGTGCTGGGTGTGCGCCGTAATTCTTCAATCGCCAATTCAGACTTAGGTCATTTTTTAGTTCTGGAGAGTTTTGTTGTATTTATGTCAGGGAACAAGTATAGGTGCTTTTAGTAAATAACTTGGGGTCTTTTTTCCGAATTTTTGCAGGAGGTATCTTGTGTACGTATTTACCAGCTATAAAAGTCTCAGCTGGATACAGCAATTGAAGAAACTGGCTACGATACGTTGACATTTGTATATGTGACTTGCCTTGCTCGCGAAATACAGCTTTTTTTCCACTGGTAAACATAGAAAATGCACTTTGCTTTTACTATGTTAAAAGCAGTATCGAGAGGGAACCCAACCGTATGCTTTAGTACTTAACGGTAGCGCTCTTCAGATTTCCTCACTGGATTTCTCCCTCCCATTTCCGACGAGGAGGACGAAAGAATGTGGAGAGAATTGGGGCGTGGCTGTTCATTAACGAATTGTAGGAGGAGTAGGGGACAGAAAAGACTTTACTCGTAAGGCTGGGGGAAGAGGACAAGGGGATGAATCTGTTAGGTAGAAGTTTGAAAAGGACAGTCTCTCTAGCCATGGGGAAGTATGTGTTCACTTATTTGTTTCCAAACTTTAGGCCTCTTGTAGTTTACTTTTCTTTGCATTTGGAAGAGTGCTTCTAGTCTTTACCTTCAGTGTATTACTAGTATTTCAGCGCGTCTTATGGCCCAAATTCCAAAAGAAGAAACAGTTGCAAATGGCGAGGCTTCCCAGCAAGGTGTGCAGGTATCGGTTTAATTTTTTTTAACGTTTTGCTTGAAGGCCTGTTGACAAGTCCAATTTTAGTTGGAAGTTCCGATTTGGAGTTATATTTAATTTGATAATTCTTTTACGCATTTGATTATAACGTTAGAATATGTGATTCACACAGAATGGGAATCCTAGTTGTGAAATGAAGTTAGGAAAGTTTTGTCTGAACAAGATAGTTTGATATGCTTATGAAATTGCAAAGAGTTGTTTCCAGTTTTGGCCGTTGTAGCATACTGAATTATTAGAGGTAAAACGGAAGAAAAAGGAAAGCGATCATAATTTAGTTATTTTTTTTTTGCTCTTTTCCGTTCGCTTTGTTGTTCTTGAATTGTAGAAGCTTTTTTTTTTTTGAATTTTAGCCGTTTTGTTTTCTCTTTATTGACTGCTTTACTGTGAACTTTTTGCAGCATATAAGGCGTACCTTACAAATTTAGCATGGAGTGTATTTAAGTGGTTTCATTTAAACGATTTTTAAAAATCTTTGAAAATGAAGCTTTGCTATGTGCATAGTTGCTATTGAATGGGGAACGAAGCTTGATATTGTTTATTTATAACGGAGTTTTTCACAGGGATTTAACCTAGTTGTTTGCTAATTAATGGTCCAGTAAAGTTTTTTTCTAAAAGCTGTATCATTTGAAGAGGAATCATTTTAAAGTTGGACCTAAAAAAAAGACAATTTGCGGAGGGGCAGGTATGGAATCAGAATAGGTTTTTTTACACCAGGTGAGGAACTTGAAATCGCTGGATAGATGTCAGTCTTTTGTCTTTTAATTTTTAAGAGTAGTTCTTCTCTGGAAAGGCAGATTGCGGCGAAATGAAGAGTTATAGAATTATTTCGGGTTAAGATGTGTGTTGATGGGAGTATTAAATGGAAAGTTCTTATCCTTTTTATTCTTTGCAATTATAATTTTGTAGGGAAGACAAGCTGCATTTGATGCTTGGAAAAAGTTACATATAATTTTAAACGATTTTTGTTTTAGGTGCGCGGTGGAGTGTTTGACAAGGACGTGGAAGAAGAAACACCATTTGGTTTCGGCAAGGGCGAGGGAGTTGACAAAGGTGCTAATGAATCTGAATGGGTTGTTTCAAAAGAAAGAACGCAGTCTGATGAAGCGTTTGAGCGACTGGAGCCAGTTGACGGCAAAATAACAGGTACTTGATTCTCATTATGGTTACGCCACTTTAAGACGGTAGTTCTTTTCCCTGAACTTGAAGTTTCATTTCGTTACCTGTCTTGATTAATTAAGGAACTGTTTTAGGTCGTGTTGCGAAGGAGCATATGATAAAGTCAAAATTACCAAATGCCGTTTTGGGCAAAATATGGAAGCTTTCAGATGTTGATAAAGATGGAATGCTTGATGCAGACGAGTTTGCTTTGGCTAATTATTTAATTAACTTGAAGTTAGAAGGTAAGTTACAAAATTTTGAAAATTGCAGTATTTGATTTATATGCGTACCGTTTGATCGTTTTCACGACAAATTTATCTATCGTAATTTTCTTAGCAAAAACTTGTTGCTTTTCATAGGGCACGAGCTGCCGGCTGAGCTGCCAAAGCATTTGGTGCCTCCTTCGAAAAGATCGGGAGAGCCAATTTATCCTTCAATTGAGTGATCTTTAATGTATGATAATTATTTGTTGTCTTACGGTTTCAAAAATCTTGAATTTATTGGTATTAATGCAATCTAAATGTCATGTGATTAGGGTGTTATGACCATTATGAGGTTTAATCCTTGACTTTAGTTGCGCCTTCAGTTTCGTTGTTTACTGCGCGCCATTTCCATGTTTACCTTTTTATTGAAATGATTTGTATAATAGTCGTTTATTTCTGCACACTTGTTGAGTTTTATTTATGTGAAGTGCTGTGATATTCTCTTTGTTGCTACACGATGTTGCTTTATTGCTTAAAATTAGTTTTTATGAACTTTTTTTATGATTAATATGGTTTGTCTTTTCAGCCAACAGTTACAGTTACTTTTTTTTCCTTGTGGCGCTCTTTAGACTCAGTGCTTAAAAGATTGTGAGTTAAAATTAATGTGTTCAGTCATGTTTTCCCGGTGGCGCTTTGAGCTTGTTGCCACTGTTTATACATTCTTGCGTTTTTGAGCTTGATTTTTGACGTTGAACCTTGGTCTTTATCGTTATCCTTTTCCTTTCTGCGCTGTCAGTATAATCTTGCAGAGAGACCACTGGATGGTCAATTTTGTTTTTTTAAAGTTAGCATTCAAAAAATTATATTGTTGGGAAGTTTGAATAAACAGGCAAAGGTGTATATGTATACTCTGCTTCTGAACAATATTCTGACAGCTATTTTTCATTCCTGCTTCACCTTTTGATGGACAGTGTCGTTCTTTTATGGTTCGAGGATTTTTCATAGAACAATATGGCGGCTTCATTTGCGGTAATTTCTTATGAGTGGAAACAGGAAGAAGCTTTTGGAGCAGAAAGAGAACGTCGTTTAGGTTTTTTTTCAATTACTAATATTCGAGTAAAATTCATTACAATGATAGGTTCTCAAGAACGGGCCGTGTTAATTTTGCCGGCTTGTTACCGAGTTTTTAGTGCTTCAGGTTTCTGATTATAGTCACTTTCAAGCGAATCAGAAGGAGTCGTTGTGTTGTCAGAGACGGTACAAATCTCTTAGACAAACTGTTATTACATTTCGTACTATTAAAACTACTAGCAGTTACCATAGGCGAGTTAATCTGTAGGTGGTTTAGGACGGTTTGGGGAGTTATTGGATTTTGGCAACCTTTATTGTTTGTTATTATTATTATTATTATTATTATTATTATTA